ACAGCACCGTCTGGGAGCGTGAACCATTGGAGTTGCTGGCGGCAGAAGAAAAGCTGGGTGTTTATTTCCATCACGGTTTCTGGCAGCCGATGGATACATTGCGGGACCGACGCCAGCTCGAGGAACTTTGGGCTTCCGGCAAGGCTCCTTGGAAGACATGGAAGTGATATCTTCTTCGACCCCCGGATAGCCAAGCGGGTGTTCGACTTGTTCCGCAAATGACCGAAAGGGTCGGGCATGAAGATTTTGATTACCGGAAACCTCGGTTACGTGGGACCCGTTGTGACCAGGCATCTGAGGGCGAGTTTGCCGGATGCATATCTGGCAGGCTTCGACGCTGCCTTCTTTGCGCATGCTTTCAGCGATGTGAGTGCTCTGCCCGAGAGAATGCTGGACATGCAGCGGTTCGGGGATGTTCGCGATATCGCGAGCGACGATCTTCGGGGATTTGACGGCGTCGTTCATCTGGCGGCCGTATCCAACGATCCCATGGGTAAAAAATTCGAGACGGTCACGCAGGAGATCAACTGCGATGCGAGTGTGCGGCTGGCGCGCCTCGCGCAAGAGGCCGGTGTAAAGCGTTTCGTCTTTGCGTCCTCTTGTTCCGTCTATGGCTTTGCTCCTGGAGCAGCCCGAAAGGAATCCGACTCCCTGAACCCACAGACGGCCTATGCCAAGTCCAAGGTCGATACCGAGCGGCAGCTTGCGGGGATGAACAGCTCGGAGATGACCATTACATGCCTGAGATTCGCCACGGCGTGTGGAATGTCGGATCGCCTTCGACTGGATCTCGTCCTTAATGACTTTGTAGCATCCAGCGTCGCTGAGAAGCGGATCACGGTCCTGTCGGACGGTACGCCTTGGCGCCCTCTTATCGATGTTCAAGACATGGCGCGCGCGATCGAGTGGGCTCTCGTGCGGCCGGAGGAGGCGGGCGGGCGCTTCTTGAGCGTCAACGTCGGCAGCGAGGTCTGGAACTATCAGGTGAAGGACTTGGCGCACGCCGTGGCAGACGCCAACCCGGGAACCGTTGTTTCGATCAACAAAGATGCGCAGCCGGATACGCGCTCCTACAAGGTCGATTTTTCGCTATTCAAGACGCTTGCTCCCCAGCATCAACCGCGGGTGAGCTTGAGCGAAGCGATTGCGCGGCTCCAGAACGGTTTGACCACCATGAAATTCTCTGACTCGGATTTTCGCTCGTCGCACTTTATGCGGCTGAGGATTCTCGAAAGCCACATAGCTAGCGGACGTCTGTCTCCTGCCCTTCGCTGGCTGGATTCCAACTGAGACCGTCACATGATCTTCAATTCGACTCCACTCAAAGACGCCCTCACGATCGACCTGGAGAAGCGCGGCG